AAATTAAATATATATAGAAATTGAAATTATGTAGATATTAAGAAGCAGTTCGTATCTACCACAACTCTGTGGGAGAAAGATCAGGCTTCCTGCTCTCATAAAGATTTACAGCCTCAGAAATCCTATACAGGGTCATTATGAGTCAGAGACCACTAGGAGGCACACAGCCACCACCACCAGAACACCCTTAGTATGACACTGTAGGATATGCATTGTATGGCCAAGCACAAGGTCAGCAGTTGACACTCCCCAGGTGTTCTTTGGGAAATTTACATAGGGTTGGTAAGAGTCAGAACTGACTCCACAGCACTTAACAACACTGAATGTAAAATTAAAATACAATTGTATTGAAATGAAGCCCAATGAATCCTAATGTTCTATGATTTAAAGTGTCACAATAAGAAATCTCTTTCACTGCATTCTGCCTTTGGGTTAGTCAGTTAAAAATAATAGTATGTTTTGCTCAAATTCTGCTGATATTTTGAAGATTTTAATTTTAGGCACCCGTGATTGTCTGACTGTGTAGTGCAAGCACAGAGTTTGTGAATGAAGGTGTGTTTTATACAGAATCAGATCCCACTAGAGCAATTATCTTCTTCACTACAAAGAACTGGTGGTATAGCTTAATGACTTCATTCAAGTGTCTTTAAAGAGGAGAGTTCTGAGTGACATTATAGGATAAACACTGGACTTCTAACCAAAAGGCCCACAGTTCAAACCTACCAGATGCTCCTCAGAAACCTATACAAGGTCACTGTGAACAACTCGACAGCACTTAACAAATAAAAACAAGCAATCTTTAAGAAACTGCTTACCTTCATGAAGGAGTCCATGGATACACAAATGATTAAGGTGTTTGGATCCCAATCAACATTTTGGAGGTCACCGGGTGGTTAGAACGGACCAAGGACAATTGGTTGGTTGTGTTTTATGATTCAATGATTTCCCTTTAAAAGGCTGTAGGGGCTAGGAGCAAAAAAATATAGATCCTGAACTTTTTTTTTTTTTTTTTAAACAAATTGGGTTCTATCTGTAAGACTATAAAACAAAATATTTCCTCAACTCTCAATCACATAATCAGAAAACATAAAATATCATATTTTCATGAAAATTTACTGCAAACACTAGGTTTGGGAAGAAAAAAAGCTACAATAGCATCTGCCACATATTATTAAGTGGAGTCTAAGAAGAGCTCTGGTAGCGTAATGGTTACCAATTGGGCTGCTAACCTCAAGGTCAGCAGTTCGAAACTACCAGCTGTTCAGTGGGAGAAAGATGAGGCTTTCTGCTCCAATAATGATTTACAGCCTCGGAAACCCTGCATAGGGTCACTCTGAGTCAGAACTGACTTCACGACACACAACCACCACCACAGAGTTAGGAATTCTGTGAATGTCATTCTACATAATCTACATCGTTGTTGTTCAATGACTTCAAGTCAGTTTAACACGCAGCAACCGTGTAGAGTTCCCGACAAGCAGCTATTGGATTTGAACCACTGACCTTGAGGTTAGCAGTCCAGTACTTATCCTATAGCACCAC